ATCTTTTCGTCTGTACTCTATTTTAGTCTTTATTATATCTTTTTATGTATCTGTTTTAGTCTGTAATCTATCCATAAAGCCATTCTATTTCAATCTGTTATCTTAGTATTATGGGTATCAAGTTCCATTTTATTATTTTAAAGATAAAATAAAATAACTACATATAAGTACATTCGAATAATTTGTAACATAACTAATATCGCCGAGCCAATAACGGTTTGTATTTGACTTCAGGTTATTTAACATTAGACAGAACGAAAACAAATCTTGGTTAAAACGAAATAACTAACAATTTTTATTACTGTGAGAGAAAACCTTCACGATAAAGAAGGTATAAAATAAAGATGTATATTGAAATATTACTTTTGTAAGGTAGTTTTGTTGTTACTTTTCTATTTTATTACCCGAACTAACATACGGTGTCTGCCATGTTTGTTGTGGGAAATATATACCAGGAGACACCTGTTTTCCATGTAAACATTCGACCAGCATACTCCCGCAACACATATAACATTAATGATTTTTCGAATCCTTTGAGGGATATATACTTTATGTAATTTTTGTTTCTAACTCCGGGAAGAATCACGTTGGCGATATGATTTTTAAAAAGCTTGTTATTTGTTGGGCTTGGACAATCGACACGTTTTATTTGTCTTTGGCAGCTATCAAAACAAGGAATATAACTGTGACATTTCCATTTTTGTAAATTACATTCTTTCGTATATGTTTTAGTGAAATTTTGTTAATGTGTATGTGCTTATGAATTTGTATGTGTGGGTATTTATGCGTTTGTATGCGTGTGAAATACTTAAGTCAAGTTTTCTTTCGGTGTAAGTTTGAAATAGTATGGCGTCTTGCGATGCCTTTGATGTCGGTGTTCAATTCTTGTTCAGCCGCGGTGAAGGGGAGGAGGAGGGTTTCGTTGGAACAGTCATCTTGTGGAATTCTCTATTGTCTGAGTAAATGACGGACCATTAGCTGTCGTGAAGTAAGACATAAGAACTTCCGTATTTTTTAAAGGTTTCTCATTGGTTAGAAAAACTGTTTTAAAATTAATGTTTTTTTTAAAGGTTTGTCATTGGTTAGAAAAACAGTGTTTTAAAATTAGTGTTTTTTTTAAAGGTTTCTCATTGGCTAGAAAAACAGTGTTTTAAAATTAATGTTTTTTTTAAAGGTTTCTCATTGGCTAGAAAATAATTTGGACGCCATTAGTTTTGGATCTGATTTCTTTTGAAGTCGGAAATAGTTTCATTTGTGAGGCTTTTACAGATTTGTTTAAATTTAGTTTGTTTTCGGATGTACAGTGCGGTCCGGAAGTCTTGTTACCCTAACCCTCCCTTCAAAACTGTAGGAGCTCGTGTCAGCCATCCGATATAGAAAATTATATTATGTAGGGGCGACAAGACTTTCGGATCACCCTGTACGTGTGAAAATTGAGATTTACTACCTTTGAACTCCTTTTTTAATTGTATCAAAACAAATTATCAAGAAATTTTCATTTGTCGGAGTTAACTCCTCCTTCAGTCCGTTAACCCTTTCACCAGGGGTCTCTCTTCCCTGGCTATAAATAGCCGCTGACCCTTGGCCTCTATCTCTTTTTCCTCCAGGCCTGTGCACCGACACCTTGAGGTAAATTTCTCTTTTTTTCCTTCAGGATTTCAGCTATCAACCTCGAAATGTAGGCGCTAACAAGGGATAGCATGGAAACACATAAGCTAATAATATTCACACACGCACGCACATACAGAATATTCACACACGCACGCACATACAGAATATTCACACACTTCATCCTTTGTACTGTTTCCATGTATTGTAACTTGTTATTAATATATATTTGTATATACATATATTATCGGTCTTGTGTTTTGTTTGCTTTTCTTTGCCTTCTTCTTTGGACTTAATCAAAGTCCAACCTTTTTATGTAGTTGGGTCCGGCGGGCAGGAGTATCTGAACCTTACTTGCGTTTCTTCTACGTCTGACTTCTATCAACAACAGCCACGCCATGAACCCTTTACACATTTGATACAACGAAAAGTGCTCAGATGCTAAATATCAATTTGCATTTCTGGCCATGAATGGCAGACAATTTCTTCACAATTGAAGAGGCAACAGAGATGTAGTTCTGGATCATGTCAGCAACGAAGTATTTTTAAAACAAAACAGACGCGTATACTTATAATAAGATAAAAAATAGTCGAAATTTCTGGGATAGATAATGAAGAAAGAGGGCTTGGAGAATTTCATATGCTAAGGACATATCGAAGACAAGAGAGGGAAAGAAGATGTAAACTGTCTAATGAGATTGTGTAAATAAATGGCAGAGGAAGTGGGTGGGACAAAAGGACAAACATTGCTAATAGCTACGAACGCGAGGATGTGTCGGGTGCCTAAATGTAAAAATAGAACATAAAAATAAAATATTAAAAAATAAAATAAGTCATTTGCTTTCCTTAAAAACCCATATATCTTTTTCTCTCTCTATCTTTCTCTCTCTTTAGTTGTAAAGAAAAGAAAAAACTTATAGTAGCAATAAACGTCTTCAATAGATTTCTTCTGTCTCTCGACCGCAACACTTGTAGCCAAATCACAGTTCAAACGATAGTCCGTCGTAACCGTCGTAACAGGCAACGTAGAAACAACAAAATGGGGTCACACATCCAACCTTCACTTCTCACCAGCAAAAACGCGTGTTCGTCCACCAAGCTCAGAAAAATCCAATCTGTCACATAAGCGAAAAACAACGGCTTTTGTTCACCGGGAGATCTTTCTGATTGGTCACGACATTCAGAGGAGGGAAGAACGTTAGCATAGATTCTGCTCCTTAAAGTAGATTTTTGCTAATTACTTTTTGGTCATTTTTCTTCGGTAGATAGCACACAAAACACGAACTCTTTTTCGAAGTATATGATTATCTCTTTTAATACTCTCTCTCTCTCTCACTCTCTCTCTTTATCTCTCTCTCTCTACCCTTCGCTCTATATACTTCTCTTTCAACTAATTGAAGAGAAGATAAAGGAAGGATTGAACAACTGCTGCGAAACGGATTTTCGCTAGTCTAAGTTTTAGTTATTGTGACAAGAAATCGATCAAAATAAAGAAAGGCTCCACGCATAACTTGCGCTGTAAAATAAGAAAAACAAATGAACGGTCGAAAAAATGGCCAATCAAAAGAACAAAGACAATGTTAGTCGAAACAAAGCTTCGCGCTAAGTAGTCTGGAACCTTTTAAAATCGTATGTAAAGAGACAGACGAGGAACAGCAGCCAGGAGACAGTCAGAAACCGATTCAAGCATGTCCCGTGAAGAACTAAGCTGTTGTTTGATTAAAACATATTCCTATCCTTTTTGAGGGCCGATATACACAGCAGGTTTACTCCGCAACATGCTTCCAAAGTAGCAATACTCCGACAGCTGCCAATCAGATGACGAATACTATCAAAGTCTCACACAAATTAACATCTACCAAGGCTTACAAACATTAGCCCGCCAGATTTATGAAGCTTCGCCCTAAACTGAAGTCGCTTGAATAAACCTGTAGAGTTTGTTTATCTCTTTGATTTTGTTTCTTTATTTCGAAGTGATCCAAATTTTCCCATAAATAGAACTAAGATCGTCTGGCGCCTCTCTCGAGATGTTATGAAATGTCATTATCGCCCACGCCCTTAAGGGACATGGCGTACAAAAAGATTGCTTCTGACGATTCTCATTTTGCTGAATCTTTTCTTTTTGTCCAATGGTTCATGTAATCTTTCTTAGTGAACTACATAGTTACTACCATCTCAACCTTACTCGGACCATTATAACAATATTTACACAAATTAAACAAAATAACGCAGATTGATTTAATAAACATATACACAATGCAATGTATTAGTCTTTATGCATGAGGCGATGTAATAAGTATGCAGACAAATATAAGATGTACAAATTATTGCTATAATCGCATATACCACTGAAGTTACGGACACACACACGCGCGCGCGCGTGTCTGTGTGTGTCTCTGTGTGTGTGTGTGGTGTCATAAAATGCATGTGGTCGAAGAATTTACCACTATGAGCAATGTCATGAAATGTACTTTCTGTAATATATTTTAGTCAAAAGTTTGTTGTTGGAATCGACATGTGCAATCAGACTTCCATCACAATCTTACTTGGTTTATTATAACAAATCTTACTTGGTTTATTTACACAAATCAAACAAAATAACGCAAACAGATTGATTTAATAAACATATACACAATGCAATGTATCATTCTTTATGCATGAGGCAATGTAATGAGTATGCAGACAAATATAATAAGATGTACAAATTATTGTTATAATCGCATATACCACTGAAGTTACGTACACACACACACCAGTATGAGCAATGCCATGAAATGTACTTTCTGTAATATATTTTAGTCAAAATTTGTTGTTGGAATCGACATGTGCAATCAGACTTCCATCACAATCTTACTTGGGCTATTATAACAATATTTACACAAAGCAAGCAAAATAATGAGAACAGAATTTGACTTAATAAAGTTATGCATAAGGCAATATATCAGTCTTTATGCATGAGGCAATGTAATGAGTATACGCACAAGTATAACATGGAGAAATTATTGTTATAATCGTATCTACCACTAAAATTACAGACATCAAAGTTAATGAACTATATATATATATATATATATATATATATATATATATGTCTGTGTGCGTGTGTGTAACTGAATGGGTAAACACGGTAGATGTACGAGAGAACGATCGTATACAAATGCATATAAAAACACTATAGTGTAAGAAAAACAGTGCTCAGTGTTAAATAACAGAGCTATTTAATATATATTAAGAAATATACATAATACCTTACATGGATGTGTGCGTGTGTGTGATGTTATGAAATTTCTGTGCTGGAAGAATTCCTCAGTAAAATGCCATGAAAATCACTTTCAGAAATCTATTTTTAGAGTCAAGAGTTTTAAGTTGGAGTCGCCAGGCGCGATTAGACATCAGCATACTAGGCAACAGGCTGGAGAAAGAAAGAAAGAAAGAAAGAAAGAAAGAAAGAGTGGGTGGATGAAAAGATGACTCTTGTGACAGAACAAAAGATTTATTGTGAACATAAAACTACTCTTCCTTTCCAAACACGGAATCAAATTCCTCTTCCTCTCTTCGGGTATAGCGAATGTGAAACAAAATGTAACTTCCGAAAACGGAAAGCAACTTTTCGTTTGCCCTTTGTCATTTATGTATAAGGGAATTTTTTTTTTTCGTTTGCAACTCACAATGAGAAATGTGGCCTTTGTTTCCTTCTTTTTTTTTTCTATTTTCTAACAAAGAGAAACGAATTTCGTTTTGTATTCGTCATTGTGTGGAACGGAGACGAGTTTCGTTTGTTATTCGCCATTCACACAGAGGAAGAGGGCTTCTGGCACAAAAGCGAGTCGGAAAACGTTATGATGATAATACATATTGAAAGGAATGTTGATGAAGCCATTTCTTACATTCAATTAATAATTATAGCAGTATTTGAAGATTCATTTAATGTTTTTATGCTAGATCATTTAACGAAAATGCAAACTTTAAAATAGAAAATATATAATGATGTAGAAAACAAAACAAAACAACTAAAATTGCACGTTCTTTGTTCGAAATTTAATAGATTTTGATACATTCATTTTGCACACTAATAACTGATGCAATTTTCCCCAATTTCACATATTCACGAACAAATGACTTTTCTATTGACTTCATCTAATACTTCTGCTTATATTGTATTGAGTCAGAAGTAGGCTCCGGTTTTGAGAATCAACCATTTTTTAACCTTTAGCACTCCCCATTATTAAGAAATTAACTTTACAACAGAACACCTGAAATATTTTAGGATTTATAGAATTTCACTGAAGAAGAGACAGGTTTGCTAACACCTGAAATGTGTCAAAATACTATTTGAAATTTCTATGCAATGCTCATCTTTTGAAAAATATAAATTGATCTTGCGTTTGATTTGTTAATACAATTTTCTTGCATTATTAATATTACTTCCCTTTCCTCTGTATTCTCTTTGAAGACCTCACAATTGCAGTATTCTTAATGTTAATTTAACTCAAAGTTTGTTTTTTTTGTTGTCATATGACGACAAAACTTTGAAATTCAAACACACTATTACTCAGAGATTCGAGTCACTTTCAGTGGCAGGCTAACCTTTTTGTACAGTAAATGAAGTCACAAAGTGATAAAGGTTAATGGCGAATGCATCATCCTAACTATTGTTAGAGTTATCTCCTCCTTAATTCCCTAATTATTCACTAGGGGGCGCTCTACCTACACTATAAATACTGGGCGATTTCTTTTCTCATTCTCTTTTTTTACTTTGAATTTCAGCGGACACATTTAAAAATGTGATCTCTCGCAGAGATCCGTGTTTTTGCCCACTTGTAGGAAAACGCTATGAAACACATATACACGTACGTACAAACTTTCAATAATATACAAACTCTTTACGTTCACGCACAAACACAAATGTTCATGTCTTTGTCCATTGTAAATTTTGTTGTTTAATACATATATTTGTTTATATATATATATATATATATATATATATATATATATATATATATATATATATATATATATCGGTCTTGTTTGTTTTCTTTATATCTTTGGTTGAACTCAACTTGAGTCCGCCATGTAGTTGGACCTTCCTCTAGCAGGAATAAACAGCACGTGTTCCTAATTCAACAACACGTAAACTCACACGGTCACCTACACTATGACCCTATTATACGAGGAAGTTAAGAATAAATTCGGAATGCACTAAAGTTCCTTAGTGTTTGCATGGCAATGGTAGCATACATACTAAATTAAAAGAAAATGTCTGAAGTATTGAGGGATAATGACGGGGAAACACACATGTTATATTTAACGAAACAAAATAAGGAATTTATTTACGAATTTTCACATTTGAAGTTGTTAGTAGCTTGTTTCGAAAAAGAATCAAATATTTAAAGTTCGTAGTTTCGACGAATTGTCAAGAAAAAAAAACGTTCACATTAAATCATCAGGCACAATGTAATATTCCAAAATGTTTAAAACAAATTGAGAGTGTTCATGTTTCACATAAAATTTATACAGTTTTATTCAGCATGAATGAAAAAATATATTTTAAGGTACTTAGCTTTGCAGTTGAATAGAGTTCTTTGAAATTACCCTGATCTCATTATAGGCTGATAATATATCAGCGTGTAATTTGACACCGGCATTATTCAGTCGCGTGGAACTCTGGCATTCTGCTTCTTGTTTCTTTCTGCTTTTTTCTCTCTCTGCTTTGATTCAACTTACTCTGCCTATTTATATCAAAAAGCTATTTTACATCGGCTCATTACTTTTTTTCTCCGTTTGTAAGCCGCTTCCTTTTCCATTGGTCAAAATAAATTTTCACATAGGTTCGCTAAACTTTGGTTTAGTCTTTTCTTCAGAGTTCAAGTCCATCCACCATATTCATCTGAACTTGCAGCAACCAATTATTACCTTTTTTGAACGTTGTAAAATGCTTTGATGACAGGAAACCTGATAAGTGGAAACAAGTCATTGCAAACAATTATGAATATATAAGTGAATAAAATTTATTTTATTTTTGGAAGAATAAAGTTGATAAACAAAACCAGCAGTTATTCATGACCCTACTTAATACTATTAGAAGAGAACATGTAAAAAGTGTTATGTAAAAATTAGATAAATTAACACTTTCAATGCTGCATTATTATAGCATTGTTGCCTGACTATACAGGCCCGTTTTAGGATAAACAAAAGCAGAAATTATTTTTGACCTAATATGCACCACTTGACTTGTTTTGTTTATCTTAACATTTATCTTCATCTACTTATATACATGTTTATCAAGAACTATTACACTGTTTTTATATCTCAAATTTTAATACTTATCTATGAATATATATATATATATATATATATATATATATATATATATATATATATATGTGTGTGTGTGTGTGTGTGTGTGTGTGTGGAGAGAGAGAAACAGAGAATGAGAGAGAAAGTGAGATAGAGACACAGAAAGATTGACAGTATATATATATATATATATATATATATATATATATATATATATATATACCAAGTGTAACAGCAAAATTATCCAAATTGTGTGACAGCTATCTCTTTTAGGCGCGTACGAATAAAGAAAAAATTCCTGCTCGGTGAGTAACAACAAAAGAAGAAAGTGTTTTTATTTACAACATATAGAGAAAAAAAGGTAAAGGGATAAAAGGACGATTAGTAGAGAAAGAAAGGGAAAAGAGAAAATGTTCTTAACTTAAAAAAGGTTTGCTTAAAATATTTCTCTGAGCGCCTAAAGAGTTCTTTAAGCGATTAGATGTTATTGTTAAAGTTCTGATAGATACACTCACAGTTCTTGTAGAGTTAGAAATTTGTTCGCAGATAAAGGAATCCTGCAGCTGAGTGAGGTTTTTTTTGGTCGACGACAGAAGTCCAGTGGGCTCGTCAGAAAGAGTGGTGAAGGCATGCAACTTTGGATTGGTCTTGAATAGTGGACCGACGTTCGTTTTTGACAGCCCTTTTTAGTAGTTCTTCTTTGGTGAAAGAGGTGCTGGAGCTTCCTATCATCGACCTCACAGACGGTGGGTAGAAATTTCACTGTCGAAATAGGCAAGATTCTCCAAATTTATGGAGTTTTGGGAGGCTCCGATGGATCGTGGACTTTTCCCTCCAAAATTGTTGTACAAATTTCCTGGCCCCTCTATTGGTCAGAAAATACATTCTTATCTCTGATAAGAATCAGGACCCTGGTAGCCGGTTTCGAAGGTATTGAAAACAGGTTAAAGTGAAGAAGCTGTGAGGTTTCTCCCAGACTTTATGGCACCATGGAAAGAATAATGGTGGTGGAATTCCTTTTTATTTTCCAGCTCTCTCCTTAGTCAGAAAATATATTCTTATGTCTGATAAGAATCAAGGCCTTGGGAGCCGGTTTTGAAATTAAAAAGAGAATGTGAACTTGTGAAATTGTTGTTCTCAAATTAAATTCCAACAGCTACATATAAATGAATACATGTGTGGATTTTAACTGGCTACATATAAATTAGTGATTCTGCGGATTTCAACCGAGATATACGGAAAGAAATTATCATTTGCCTAACGAAACTTTGGTTATTGATGAGACTGTTGCTGTTAAGGATGTTATGCTTCAACTGTGATCTTTGTTGTGGGCAGTCATTTGATGTTTAAACGATACTTGCTGTGCGTGTCTCTATTTACCGAACAAGGAGTCAGTTTCAACGAAAATGTCCCCAATTATGCCGTTAGCTAATGTTTATGCTTTGCGAATAACTACGATTGATTTTTGTAGGGAGAGTAAAGTGTTTTATTCGTTGCCTTCTCCTCGGTTATTTTATTGAGATACCACCGCCTAGCTGGTAGTTGAGTCTTAGAACTCATTCGCTCTTTGATGCATGTTAATTTTCTCCCTACTGGGTTTCTAACTATTTTTTCTCTTCCTCAGTATGACGGTGCCTCGGTTTATACACAGACGATCAGACAAATTAGACTATACTTTGGTATAGCTTTGCGAACAAAGATATGGATTAATTTTTCTGTTCGCACTACTGTTTCAGGCTCTTTTGTAGTGTAGAGAGACAATAATTGTCTACAAGAGATAAGTGAACTAATCTACAGACTAGTATTCGTGTGGGTTTAAAGTAGAGTGTGGTAGGTGCATAACCATTTTCAGCTTTTGGGGGTGGTTAGAGGGTCGTGGCCCAGCAAAGTGATAAAGTCCGAAGGAGGTAGATTTTCTGTTGGTTTTCTTTTCCTAATCAGACGGTCAGGTTGACTGCAGAGGTCTGCCACCTCTTCCAAGATGCATCCCAACAGTATGGATTACTTGGACAGATTAAGGTCTTGAGTTACTTGCATGCATTTTTGCATTATTTTACGTTACTCTATAAGTGCTACTGCTCTACCACATAATACTTGTTGCATGCCCATTGATGACTAAACCAGCTCTCCCACCTGGCCTTTCTGGCGAGGAGGGTGGGGCGTGTCTAGACACCCAACGAGAATTTGATTCTGTCGAGAACGTACAGCGGGGTAATGTCCTCCAGCTTGGAGGCCCATGTTGGTCACAGACACGTTGCTCATGATTCCTTTGAGATTCCTCCATCCCAGCCCACTGATTTCAATCTCGAAGCCCTCCACCCAACTGAAAATCAGTGGCTGGGATGGAGGAATCAGAGGGATCATGAGCAACGTGTTGTGACCAACATGGGCCTCCAAGCTGGAGGACATTCCCCCGCTGTACGTCCTCGACAGAATCAAGAAACGGGTATGCAACGTGGTTGGCCCTGATCTGGCACCTGGCACCCTGATCTGGCACCTGGCACCCTGATCTGGCACCTCATTTACAGTCGGTCTCTCAGAGATGTGCCGTCGGCTCCCGCTGTCTTTTCTACAAATACTTTCACGGTAACTGCTCCGACGATCTACTTTCGCTAGTTCTCAAACTGCATGAATTTAAACGTGCCACTAGGTCGGCATCTCAGTTCCACCCTTTCCCTCCCAAAACAGTTATATATACCCATCTCTTCTACTGCAATAGCTTCATGTCTCGCACTTCTCGTCTGTGGAACTCCCTCCCTCTTACTTGTTTCCCTGATAGGTATAATCTTCAACTATTCAAGTGTAATGTCAATCGACATTTTCAGAAGCCTTGATCTGTTCCTCATCCTTCGCTTCATCCTTTCCTCTATCACGCCTTTTCACTCTTGCTCCTAATCTCTGTAACCTCTTGCGTATTAGTGGCACTTCCGCTTTGATTGGGGGGAAAACTTAAACAAAAAAGAAAAGAAATTTAGCTCCTGTTTCTGTTTAAAGCCTCCAAGTTTTGTGGTTTCTGTTATCTGGTCGAGTTCTTTTCTTTGTGATTCTGTATCACCAGTAGTTAACAAGGTTCGAAGAAAGATGTTCCTTACTAAGACCATCATGCTTCATGCGATCGAATCCATTGTTAACTATCTATCTGAGAAAGCGGTTGTATACAGCCAACGCTTTAGATATTTCTGAATGAGTTTTACTCTATGCATGGCATCTATATTAAAGTCTCGATCAGACAAGAGTATTTAAGTACATGACTCTAGGTTTTAGATTAATCTTTAGTTTTGTAGTGTAGAGAGACAATAATTGTCTTCCCTTGGATTGGCGGCGGGGCTTATTTCGTCCCGCATCCGTTGGTCACGTGGTAATTCAGTCCTTTACGAAAGAGTGTTTAACATCTCGTTTTTCCTGAAGTCCACATATGTGGTAAACGGACATTATGTTCTCTGTGGAAACGAGACCCTTGTCTCCAACTTGGGCGTGGCACTTTATTTCACCTTGTTGAGGATGTTGATGTGTGTTGGAGGGGAATAGAAGGTTTGAATTATCAGAAGGCTTAAATTTGTGTGTGTTCAATAATCTTCCATCCACAACAATTAATACAAGACATAGAAAAAATGATTTATAAACATCTTGTTTCAAAACGTAACAATTTTATTAGTGTTTGACATACATGCATGAATACTGAGTGAAAAGGTGAGACAGAGTTGTGCCTCTTAGACTAGGTAACATTTGTACCGAAGTTCATAAAGTGAAAGTAATTATTAAACTGTAGTTTAGACGAGTAATGTTTCTTTAGCGTGTTTAGAATTGTGTATTGTACAAGTTGGTAAAAGTTCAGAAGAGATTTCAGAGTTCGTACTTGCGTGAATGTTGGTAATGGTCTTTAACGTCTGACAGTATTAGTTAAGACGGGAGTTCTTGAAGATTACATCTTGGCAGCAAGGAATGAGACACAAGAGAGAGAGAGAGAGAGAGAGAGATTGCACGTGTTTTGTTTTTTTATAATTTTGTTGTACCACGTGACAGACAGAGACTGAGTTGGCACCAAAATAGATTTGTCGCGTGGAGTGAATTGATTAGTCGAAACTGACCAATCACCAAGCTAGATTGAAGGTGATTAACCAATGAATGCTTGTCATACATTCACTTACAGGGAATAGTTTATTTACCCACGCAGGGGTGACTAGCTGACGTGGAAGATTCCACAACCTCATCAAAGGAACAAAAAAAAATTAAACATTTTGTGTTTATCTTTTATGTATCTCAGTCAGACATGCTCGTGCTTGGATGAATGTGGACAAACTGTACATTCATCTTTCTTGGGACACATGCAATTTGTTGTAACATTGCATTTATTAGATGTTTTAATTGTGTATGGGTGTATGCCGTCTTTCATTTCCATTTATTCATTGTTGGTGTACCAATAGATACACTAATACTAATATTAGTACCTGGTAAGTGGGAACTATTAAATATCTTCCTAGCACCAGATTGCCGGTAAATTGTAAATAGCAAATAAAATTATACTAATATGAGTTACTAATAGTAGCAACTTGTGCAATGTCTTTGTTATAAAATAAAATAAGACATATCTCGGCTGATTTGCAGGCAAATAAACTAACATACTTAAGAGCGAGACCCGGATGTGAACGGAACAAGGCCCCATCACAAAATGACCATTATCGTCGTCTACGCATAAGCTCGACGCACGAGTTCCGGTCGAAAAATAAAATAATATTTTAAAGTGTTTCTATTTTTCGACCAATAAAAATGCTTCCCTCCTAATTATACTCGCGTCGTTTTACGAGCCTGTTAAGCCATAAAAAACGCCATAAAAGTGGTCACACGGGGAAGTACAACAGCAGTCAACAGGAGGCCAGGGAAGAGAGCTGTCACGGTCAGTCAACAGCAGTCAGCAGGAGGAGCGCCACGCCAACCAGTGAGAACTACTATGAGAGATCAACCCAGATCGGAAGCCAGCTTACGAACTATACCACAAGGTAGCTGTCCCAAACCTACACGTTTCTATTGAAATAAATCACGTAAATCTATTACTGCTGTTGTCGTATTTCTTTCTTGCAACCATACGCTTGTCTATAACATCTTCCTTTTTCTTTTTTTTAAAACCGTTTCAATTCAGACAAGGTAATAAAACCACTAAGATACAAGGGGTTAGCGAGTGTGAGAGAATATGAATAGAAAAAATCTATTAAGATGATTAATTGCTGCTATTGTTGATGATCTGGGTATGTAAATTTCAGCAGCCTTTTTGGTTTCACGCATTTGCGTTTTCTCTTCATCCCACCAGCATTTAGTAATGATATGGCATTTTATGAAATAGTTTTCATATTCTAATACATTCCGTTGGTTGTATAAATAGTAAGACAAATTTAGGCTGAGGAGAAAATACAGGATTTCAATCTGAAAATATTACACGAAATTCCAATCTTGGATTTTCAAAATTTAAAATAAAAGTAAAATAGCGTTTCAAGCTGCAAAACTAAAGGCATAATATGCAGAGCTTTAACTTTGTAAGTTTTAAAAAAATCTTATCTATTTTATGCGTGGAAAATTGCAGATTCAATCATAAATCTGCAATGCTATTTACTACGTGGTTTGGGTTGGGTGAAATGAATGCAAAGTACACAATTAATGCATGTTTTACACTTATCCCAAAATGTTTAGGATAGTGAGTGTTCGAGGAAACGATAGATAGATAGATAGATAGATAGATAGATAGATAGATAGATAGATAGATAGATAGAAAATGAGTATAGATAGATAGATAGATAGATAGATAGATAGATAGAAAATGAGTATAGATAGATAGATAGATAGATAGATAGATAGATATGAAAAGACTGAGATAGATAGATATTAACAGACTAAGATAGATAGATAGAAAGAATATGAGCATAGATAGATAGATAGATAGATAGATAGATAGATAGATAGAAAATGAGTATAGATAGATAGATAGATAGATAGATAGATAGATAGAAAATGAGTATAGATAGATAGATAGATAGATAGATAGATAGATAGATAGATAGATAGATAGAAAATGAGTATAGATAGATAGATAGATAGATAGATAGATAGATAGATAGATAGATAGATATGAAAAGACTGAGATAGATATAAACAGACTAAGATAGATAGATAGAAAGAATATGAGCATAGATAGATAGATAGATAGATAGATAGATAGATAGATAGATAGAAAGAAAACAATCTGAGATAGGCAGATAGATATAGACCAATTGAAACAGGTAGGTATGTACAGACAGAGATAGATAGATAGATAGATAGATAGATAGATAGATAGATAGATAGATGGATAGATAGATAGATAGATAGATAGATAGATAGACAGATAGATAATGAAAAGACTGAGATAGATAGATATTAACAGACTATGATAGATAGAAAGAATATGAGCATATATAGATAGATAGATAGAAATAAAACAATCTAAGATAGATCCGTAGATAGATATAGACCTACTGAAACAGGTAGGTACAGACAGATATAGATAGATACATAGGAACAGACTGAGATAGATAGATAAATAGATAGATAGATAGATAGATAGATAGATAGATAGATATGAAAAGACTGATAGAAAGAAAATGAGCATAGATAGATAGATAGATAGATAGATAGATAGATAGAAAACAATCTGAGATAGGCAGATTGGTAGATAGATATAGACCTACTGAAAGGTATGTACAGACATAGATAGATAGATAGATAGATAGATAGATAGATAGATGGATAGATAGATAGAAAATGAGCATAGATAGATAGATAGATAGATAGATAGATATGAAAAGACTGAGATAGATAGATATTAACAGACTAAGTTAGATAGATGGGAATGATAGAAACGGATAGGTATGTACAGACAAATAAAGATAAATACATAGAAACAGACTGAGATAGATAGATAGATAGATAGATAGATAGATAGATAGATAGATAGATAGATAGATAGATAGAAATAAAACAATCTGAGATAGATAGGTAGACAGACAGATAGATATAGACCAGATGAAACAGGTTGGTATGTACAGACAGATATAGATAGATACATAGGAACAGACGGAGATAGAGAGATAGATAGATAGATAGATAGATAGATAGATAGATAGAAAATGAGCATAGATAGATAGATAGATAGATAGATAGATAGATAGATAGATAGATAGATAGATATGAAAAGACTGAGATAGATAGATATTAACAGACTAAGTTAGATAGATAGAAAGATAGAAACGGATAGGTATGTACAGACAAATAAAGATAAATACATAGAAACAGACTGAGATAGATAGATAGATAGATAGATAGATAGATAGATAGATAGATAGAAATAAAACAATCTGAGATAGATAGGTAGACAGACAGATAGATATAGACCAGATGAAACAGGTTGGTATGTACAGACAGATATAGAAGGATACATAGGAACAGACGGAGATAGATAGATAGATAGATAGATAGATAGATAGATAGATAGATAGATATGAAAAGACTAAGATAGATAGATATGAAGAAAGATAGATAGAAAGAAAATGAGCATAGATAGATAGATAGATAGATAGATAGATAGATAGAAACTGAGGCATAGAAGATAGATAGATAGACAGAAATAAAAACAATCTATGATAGATAGATGGGTAGATAGATATAGACCAACCGAAACGGGTAAGTATGTACAGACATATAAAGATAGATACATAGGAACAGACTGAGATAGATAGATAGATAGATAGATAGATAGATAGATAGATAGATAGATAGATAGATATGAAAAGACTGAGATAGATAGATATGAACAAAGATAGATAGAAAGAAAATGAGCATAGATAGATACATAGATAGATAGATAGATAGATAGATAGATAGATAATGAAAAGACTGATGTAGATAGATATTAACAGACTAAGTTAGATAGATAGCAAGAATATGAGTATAGATAGATAGATAGATAGATAGATAGATAGATAGATAGATAGAAAATGAGCATAGATAGATAGATAGATAGATAGATAGAAATAAAACAATCTAAGATAGATCCGTAGATAGGTAGGTACAGACAGAGATAGATAGATACATAGGAACAGACTGAGATAGATAGATAGATAGATAAATAGATAGATAGATAGATAGATAGATATGAAAAGACTGAGATAGAAAGAAAATGAGCATAGATAGATAGATAGATAGATAGATAGATAGATAGATAGATAGATAGATAGATAGAAAGAAAACAATCTGAGATAGGCAGATTGGTAGATAGATATAGACCTACTGAAACAGGTAGGTATGTACAGACAGAGATATATAGATAGATAGATAGATAGATAGATAGATAGATAGATAGATAGGTAGGTAGAAAATGAGCATAGATAGATAGATAGATAGATAGATAGATAGATAGATAGATAGATAGATAGATAGATAGAAATAAAACAATCTAAGATAGATCCGTAGATAGATATAGACCTACTGAAACAGGTAGGTAGGTACAGACAGATATAGATAGATACATAGGAACAGAGATAGATAGATAGATAAATAGATAGATAGATAGATATGAAAAGACTGAGATAGAAAGAAAATGAGCATAGATAGATAGATAGATAGATAGATAGATAGATAGATAGATAGATAGATAGATAGAAATAAAACAATCTGAGATAGATAGGTAGACAGACAGATAGATATAGACCAGATGAAACAGGTTGGTATGTACAGACAGATATAGATAGATACATAGGAACAGACGGAGATAGATAGATAGATAGATAGATAGATAGATAGATAGATAGATATGAAAAGACTAAGATAGATAGATATGAAGAAAGATAGATAGAAAGAAAATGAGCATAGATAGATAGATAGATAGATAGATAGATAGATAGATAGAAACTGAGCATAGATAGATAGATAGATAGATAGACAGAAATAAAACAATCTATGATAGATACGTAGATGGGTAGATAGATATAGACGTGAAACGGATGAAAGTATGTACAGACATATAAAAGATAGATACATAGGAACAGACTGAGATAGATAGATAGATAGATAGATAGATAGATAGATAGATAGATAGATATGAAAAGACTGAGATAGATAGATATGAACAAAGATAGATAGAAAGAAAAATGAGCATAGATAGATAGATAGATAGATAGATAGATGGATAGATAGATAATGAAAAGACTGATGTAGATAGATATTAACAGACTAAGTTAGATAGATAGCAAGAATATGAGCATAGATAGATAGATAGATAGATAGATAGATAGATAGATAGATAGATAGATAGAAAATGAGCATAGATAGATAGATAGATAGATAGATAGATAGATAGATAGATAGAAATAAAACAATCTAAGATAGATCCGTAGATAGGTAGGTACAGACAGAGATAGATAGATACATAGGAACAGACTGAGATAGATAGATAGATAGATAAATAGATAGATAGATAGATAGATAGATAGATATGAAAAGACTGAGATAGAAAGAAAATGAGCATAGATAGATAGATAGATAGATAGATAGATAGATAGATAGATAGATA